GTGGAGGCTCCATGCCTCCTTCTTCACCGGGCCCTCTCCTCCTTCACGCTCTGCCCCCCATGTGCTCCCGGTACCCCCACACTGTGCCTCTTAGCCAGGGGCTAACTCTAGGTCTGGAGGCTCAGGGTTAAGAGCTTGGACCCTGGAGCCACCTGGGGGGTCATTGCCAACTCTGTCACTTACCAGCTGAGTGACTTTGGACACGTGACTTACCCTCTCTGTGTTTCATCAGTACAATGTTCCTCATCTGCAAAATGGGGATATGGGAGGACCATCCCCCTTAGGGGATTTGTGAGGATTGAATGAGTTAATGTGTATAAAGTTCTTGGAAAGGGCCTGGTTCATTTGAGTGCTCTACCGGCTATTATTATTATTATTATTATTATTATTATTACTAGAGGCCCGGTGCATGACATTTGTGCACTCAGAGTGGAGTGGGGGGCAGGGGGGCCTCAACCTGGCCTGTGCCCTCTTGCAGTGCAGGAACCCCGCCACCGCTGCTGCACTCGCCAGCTGTGAGCCCGGCTCAGGGCTTCTGGCTGAGCGGCGCTCCCCCTGTGGGAGCGCACTGACCACCAGGGGCAGCTCCTGCGTTGAGTGTCTGCCCCCTGGTGGTCAGCACGCATCATAGCGACCGGTCGTTCCGCCGTCCGGTTGATTTGTATATTAGCCTTTTGTTATATAGGATTTACCCTTCAGTAGCCTTGGCCTCCGCCTCTCTCCACCACTGCCCTGGGTCGGTTCCTCTCCATGTCTGACTTCAGTGTGATCACGGCCTCCAAACTGGCCCCCTGGGCCTGGCCAGGCCTCCTCCACCCATTCACCCCCAGCACCGGGGTCAGTCAGTTTCTCGGCCCATGAAGGTCACTGTTGGGATTCGGTGAGCTCCCGCGCTCCTGCTGCCACCCGGAGGCTCACTAAGTGACTCACTTCTAGCCCTTTCTCGGGGGGAAGTCTCTCCAGAGAGACCTGGGGCTCCCAGGGCAGGAGCTACACCGTTGGCCTTTGCTCAGGCCCTGGTCCAGGCCTTAGCACTCAGTGGGGGCCCCTGAAAGGCCCTGGGGGGCTGGGAGGAAGCAGGACAGCAGCTTGGACAGACTTCACCCAGGCTCTGCCCTCTGCCCTCTGCCCTCTGCCCTCAGGCTCAGGGAGTGCAGCTTCAGACCGGAGCACATGCCCAGACTGGCCGCTGGCCTGAGCCAGGCCTGGCACCTGACGGAGCTCACGTGAGTTACGGGGCCAGCCCGTCGGGGCAGCTGAGGGGCGGTGCTCCCTCCTAGGGCCACCGTCTAACCTACCTCTGTCCCAGGCTGAGCCGGTGCTGCCTGGGCCTGCAAGACCTGACCTTGCTCCTGCGTCTGCTGAGGCGGCCGGAGGGGCTGCTCAGGCTCAGGTAGCGTCTTCCTCTGTGCCCCTGGGTGGGGGCCGGGGGCGTGAATGAGGGCAGGGCGGGCACTGGAGTATGGGTCCCCCCAGGATCGTGCCCTGGCCATTTCCTGCACCCGGAACTCTGCCACCTGGACACAGAGCCGACCTGCCCATTGGTCCCAGAGCCCCCCTCAGGCACACAGAGAACCTGCCTTCCCCGGGTGGGGTCTACGCTTGGGGACTTCAGAAAAAATAAAGAGATGCTCGGCCAGTTGGGGTCAGTGGTTAGAGCGTTAGCCCTTAGGCCAAAGGGTCTCAGGTTTGATTCCCGGCCGAGAGCATGTACCTCAGTTGCAAGCTTGATCCCTGGCCTGGTTGGAGTGTGAATGGCAGGCAACCAATAAACGTGTCTCTCTCACATCGATATTTCTGTCTCTCTCTACCCTCTCCCTCCTCTTTCTCCTCCCCCCCCTTTCTCTAAAAAAAAAAAAAAAAAAAAAATTGGAAAAATTATCCTTGGGTGAGGATTAACCAAAAAAGAAAAAAAACTCCAAATGACATCCAGTTGAGGTCAGAAATAACATCCAACAAATAGCGTGTTCGTATGTCCACTCCTGTCATTTTAAAACCTTCAGAAAGAGACAGAAGACACCAAACAGGAGAATCGTTTTTAAAACTCATATCCCATCACCTAGGTTCATATTTTTCCAAATTTGCTTCACTTTTTTATTTCGGCCAAAGTGTTTTATATATATCTATATATCTATATATCTATACATAGATATATAGATATATAGATATATAGAGATAGAGAGTTATCCTATTAACATTTGTTTCTCTGTGAAAAAATATAACAAATGTAGCCTTTCAATGATTGCTTAGACATGGTTTAGAAATACCTAGGTTTATTTTTTTTAATGTTTTTATTGATTTCAGGGAGAAGGAGAGAGAGAGAAACACCAGTGATGAGAGAGAATCATTGATTGGCTGCCTCCTGCACGCCCCCTACTGGGGATCAAGACCGCAACCCGGACTTGTGCCCTGATGGGAAATGAACTGTGACCTCCTGGATTATAGGTTGATGCTCAACCGCTGAGCCCCGACGGCCGGGCCATTTTTAAATGTGCGGCTCAGTCGTGTTAAGTACACTCACATTGTTGTGCAGCCATCACCACCGTCCATCTCCAGAACTATTTTCTGGCAAAACTGAAACTGGGTTCCCATTAAACATGCACTCCCCACGCCCCTCCCCCAGCCCCTGGCAACCACCCTTCTGCTTTCTGTCTCCAAGTCTAGGGACTCATAGAAGTGCTTATTTCACTTACCGCGTGTCCTTAAGGTTCATCTGTGTTGTAGCATGTGTACCGTGTATCCTTAAGGTTCATCCATGTTGTAGCATGTGCACAGTGTGTCCTTAAAGTTCATCCATGTGGTAGCATGTGTACCGTGTGTCCCTAAGGTTCATCTGCGTTGTAGCATGTGTACCATCTGTCCTTAAGGTTCATCTGCATTGTAGCATGTGTCCTTAAGGTTCATCCGCGTTGTAGCATGTGTACCATGTGTCCTTAAGGTTCATCTGTGTTGTAACATGTGTACCGTGTGTCCTTAAGGTTCATCCGCGTAGTAGAATGTCTCAGGATTCTCTTTCTATTTAAGGCTGAATAATCCGCTGGGTGGATATACCGCACTGTGCTTATCCGCTCATCCATGGATGGGCACTGGGTTGCCCCCACTTTGGGGCTCTTGTGAATAGCGCTGCAGATGCGCAAACATCTCTTTGTATCTCTGCTTGCAGTTCTCTCAGATGTGTACCCAGAATTGCCGGACCACCCAAAACAATGTTTGAAAATAAAACTTTCCTTTCTCTAAAGATAATATATAGTAGTTGTAGAACTTTGCGGGAAAGTCCGTAAGAGCATTAAAAAAATAGCACTGGAAAGAATACAGTATAACTTTAAAAGCAGGAATATTTTCAACAACTCTCTTTGTCCTCTGTCTAAGTTAATGCATGTGCATTTAGAAAGCCCGGAAAATATTGAAAACTAAAGAAGAAATAAAATAAAAACATCACGAGAATGCCACCATCTAAACAAATACCATTAACATTTAATATAGTTTCCTCATCTCTCTCTCTCTCTCTCTCTCTCTCTCTCTCTTTCTGTCCATACGTATTTTTCCTTTCCTCAAATAGAAAACTGCAATCTTGTTTTAGACACCGTTTTGTTTCCTTCTCTTTGCAATATAACATTATGTGGACCTTCAGTTTAATCTAAAAATATTATTTAAAAATAACATTTTCTGTTTGCATCGTTGCAATAACAGCTGGGATGAGAATGGTCATTTCCTGTGTTATGCTTCTGCCTGGTTGTATAATATTATAGTTTTGAAATAAGCAAAAACCCCCAAAGCCTCTAGGACTCCCTTGGCACTCTCCCCCCTACCCCTACACCCTACTCCCTACCCCCTACCCCTGCTTACCCAGGGGACCTTTGTCTGTGTCCGCTTCTGCGACAGGGTGGAGGAGCCGTGGATGGGCAGAGCTGGGGTGCTCACCCTGCTACAAGTCTGCGCCCAGGCCTCAGGCAACGTCACCGAGATCAGGTGGGTCCAGGGAGGAGGCCCCTCTGAATTCTTCATCGTCCCATGGCTGTTGGGCCCTTCCCTCACCTAGATGTTAGTCTCTTGTCCTGTGGGGTGAGAGCCATGTCACTAGTGAGTTCTCTGGGTGCCCACGGTGGCAGGAGCTCCAGGGGCACCTGTGGAGGGCTGCACCCTTGTTGGGACTGGCACAGTAGTCAAGCCGCAGTGCCAGGAAGGGGAAGGCAGCCCCAGATCAAGACAAGGGGCTGTTGGAGTGGGAACCTTGGAGAGAAGGCGGGGGATCAGAGATATAGAAGCATAGAACAGACTGTGGAATCTCAGAGGGAAGGCAGGGGAGGGTGGATGGGTGGGAAGAGATCAACTAAAGAACTTGTATGCATATATGCATAATCCATGGACACAGATAATAGGGTGGTGAAAGCCTGGGGAAAGGGGGAGGGGTGGGCTGGAAAGGGTCAATGGGGGGAAAGGGGACATAGGTAATACTGTCAACGATAAAGAATTATTTTTTAAAAAGACAAAGGGCTGTTGGCTCTCAGGTGACACGGCTGGGAGTCCACACGCGTAGCCTAGAAGTGGCCCCTGGGTTACAGTAACACATTGCAGCGCTGTGACCAGGCAGAACGATGTGGAGTCACTAAGAGCAAGGGCTTTGTGCGGGTCCCCACCGGGTCCGGGAGCTCAGAGCCAGGGGGCTGGGCAGCCTGGATCCCAGCTCGGCCAACACGGGAAAGGTGCCGTGGCCTCACGCTGGTCCCTCCTCCCCCCAGCATCTCCGAGAGCCAGCAGCAGCTCTGCCTCCAGCTGAAATTTCCCCGTCAGGAGAACCCAGAGGCCGTGGCCCGCAGGTGGGACCCAGAACCTGGGGCCCCCAGGGAGCGGCTGGGGATGGGTTGGGGTCTGTGCTTCCAACCAGTATTTCTCGTGCCCCCGCTTGGATGCCCGAAGTCTCTCCGTGGCCCAGGAGGTCTGCTTGAATCTGCCTGTCCATGTTGTCCATCCCGGCCCCGAACCCCAGCCTCAGCTCCAGGCCTCCCTTCCAGCTCTCAGTTCCCCAAGGACCACCCTGCTCCCTTTGACCTCAGGGCCTTTGCACAGGCAGTTCCCCCGCCTAGATGTCCTCTTCTCTCTTCCCCTCGTCCTCCTTCACTTGGCTAACTCCCTCTCGTCCTTCAGGTCTCAGCTTAAATGCCACCACCTCAGGAAGGCCCCTCTGGACCCCCAGACTTCGTCAAGTCCCCCCAGGACCGTCCCCAGGCCGCAGCTCTGCCCGGCCCCGCACTCCCCACGCCTGAGCTCAGGGGAACCCGGTCCAGATCCCGGGGCAGGGACCCCGCTCAGCCCTGGAGCTGACGCCAGGGTGCGGCTGATGTCAGGGTGTGTGCTCATAGACGTGGTCACGGGCGAGGAAGGAATCCCCCTTCCCACACCCTTTATGACAGTGGTTCTCAACCTTCCTAACGCCGCGATCCTTTAATACAGTTCCTCATGTTGTGATGACCCCCAACCATCAAATTATTTTCGTTGCTACTTCATCACTGTCATGTTGCTCCTGTTATGAATCGTCCTGTAAATATCTGATATGTAGGATGTATTTTCATGGTGACAAATGGAACATAATTAAAGCATGATGATTCATCACAAAAACAGTATGTAATTATATATGTGTTTTCCGATGGTCTTAGGCGACCCCTGTGAAAGGGTCGTTCGACCAAAGGGGTCCACAGGTTGAGAACCGCTGCTTTATGACTTGGAAATCATTGCAATCTAAGAGCAAAGCTGTAAGAAGACGGAGAAGTTCCATGTACCATTCTCCCAGATTCACCCTTCGTCAGGATTCTTCTCACATTGGCTCTCGTCTTCCCTCCCTCTTCCCTCACCCCTCCCCTCGTTCCTGCCCCTCTCCCTCTCTCTCCCCTCTTTTCAAACATTTCAAAAGGAGTTGCATAAGCATGCCCCTTCATCCCTTAACATTTCAGTGAATTTCCTAAGAGGACAGTATTTCCCAGGATCCAGCAAAAAACATGGAAATTTCACACTGACACACTTCTATTATCTAAACTATAGTTCATATTCCAGTTTTGCCAATTGTCCCAGTAATGATGTTTATTGCACCACCACCCCCCGCCCTCAGTCCTGGACCACACACGGCCGTGAGCTGCCATCTCTCCTTGGTCTCCTTCATGCGGAGCAGGTCCCAGCCCTTTGGTCTTCCATGATATTGTCATGACAGTCACACTGGTTACTCTGTCGGCCGCCCTGAAGCCTGGGCTTGTCCGACGTTCCCTCGAGCTGAGATGCAGGTTCTGCATGTTGGGCAGGAGCATCACAGAGGCTCCGTGTGTCCTCAGCTCGTCACATCTGCATGTCCCTGACGTCTGTTCGTCCCCTGACCGGTGACGTGAACTGTGATCACCTGGTGTAGGTGGCATCTGCCGGCTGTCTTCAGTCCCACAGCTCCTATTTGTATTCTCTTTCTCATTAGCAAGTGTCTTTGACGGAGCTGCTTTAAGACTCTGTAAACTTCCTGTTCTGCCTCACACCTTCACCCACGGAGTTTTGGCATTCGTTGGCAATTCTTGCCGGAGTCAAATAACCAGTATGATGGTTGCAAAATGAGACTTTCCTAACTTTCAATTCTGTGTTAATCCCACTGTTTGCATCCCAGAGAAGGTCTCCTTTGCCAATATGTCTTTTTTTTGATAAGTTTTTTTATTGATTTCAGAGAGGAAGAGAGGGAGAGAGAGAAACAGCAATGATGAGAACCATTAATCAGCTGCCTCCTGCATGCCCCCTACTGGGGATCAAGCCCACCACCCGGGCATGTGCCCTGATGGGAATCAAACCCTGACCTCCTGGTTCGTAGGTCGACACTCAACCACTGAGCCACACTGGCCGGGGCGCCAATGAGTCTTTAACGCTGCTCCATACTTGCTTCTTTTGTTTGTTGTTGTTTAAATAAAGGCGTAGAGTTCTTGGACATGGGCAGTCACTAGCTAGATTTACAGTGACGCCCACTTATGGCATAAGTTGTGAAGCTGCCATCTGAATGATGATGCCTTCCCATCTCCCTCTCTCTCCCCTCTTTTCAAACATTTCAAAAGGAGTTGCATAAGCATGCCCCTTCATCCCTTAACATTTCAGTGAATTTCCCAAGAGGACAGTGTTTCCCAGGATCCAGCAAAAAACATGAAATTTCACACTGACACGCTTCTATTATCTAAACTATAGTTTATATTCCAGTTTTGCCAATTGGCTCTTCCACAAAATACCAACTTCTGCGCATGGGCCACGAAGTTTCAATCGCACTGTACGTGCGCGCCCGCACGTGGTATTTTGTGGAAGAGCCACACTCAAGGGGCCAAAGAGCCGCATGTGGCTCCCGAGCCGCAGTTTGCCGACCACTGGTTTAGGAAAATAACTAGTCCTGCCTCCAAGCAATGTCTCAACTTACTGCTTCAGGGGGAGAGACTTATGAAGGAAAGGAGGACCCCCTCCCGCTTCCCACCCACTTCCTTGCCCTCCGCCATCAGCATTCAGAGCCCCCAAGACCCAGAGCTCCTGCCTGACATGCTGCCCTTTGACCCCCACCAGGCTGGCCTCCAGCTGTGTGAGCTCCGAGGGCCTGGCCCCCCTGGCGTCTGGTCTGAGCCGCTGTCGCCACCTGGAGGAGCTGGAGTGAGTCTCAGGGAGGAGGGGTCTGGGAAGGGCTGGCCCCGCTGAGGGCCAAGGGTGGAGAGGACAGGGAGGCGGGGCTTTGGGGAGCTGGGGAGTGGACATCAAGGGATCACTTTCTCCCTGATGAAGCCCAGCCTCTCTGGGTGTGGCCTGGGGAAGGCTGGGCGCTGTGTTCTTGGTCCCAACTCCACCTCTCATTCAGAGTGTCCTGGGCACAAAGCTGCGCCTCTCCAGGCTTGCATGCCTCATCTGTAACCTGGTCATAACCCTTCTCTGCCCAGGTGGCTGTGGAGGAACAGAAAAGACCACTGTGTGTGTGTGGGGTGGGGGGCTTGTCCCTGGCCTCCTCTTTTTTTTTTTTATAATTTTTATTTCTTAAAGTATTAAAAAGAGTATTACATATGTCTCCTTTTTTCCCCCCCCTTGACATTCCCCCGGCCCCTACCGCCCCCCCGGGT